CATTTTTATGGGGCAAGTTTGTTGCTAATAGAGACGAATCGACCCAGGTCTGATTCGTTTCTCTTGTTCTTTTAGCCATGTTCTGCTTCACACATCAATATCAAGACCAAAACCTTATTTGAAGACTTGAAAATTGGAATAAAATGGTGATCTAGGGAATTAAATGGAAGCAACAAAATCGAAACATGGACATCATATCTAAGCTAACCAAAAACATATAAACAAAAATAAACGAAACCTGAAGAAAGTTAACCCAGATCAAGAATTCTTCGTCTTCATCCAAATATTCATGGATTGTGAGGCCTTTATCCTGATAAAAAAACTCCATTTATAGCCTTCATCAAGACCCTATTTAGGGTTTTGAATGGTGGCCGGGAAGAGAACGATTGAGAGAAAAAGTGTTCCATGTGATTCAAAAGAGGTAAACGGAATTCGAATTCAAAAACTAATATCCTACTATTTAGTGGATGTGATAAGGTAAGAAGGGGCTAGGGTTTTGATGGGAAAACCAAATCAAACCGTATATCATCTTGAGTAGGAAATAAAGAAGATGTTAGGCATTGTAATTTTCATTACACAATTACGGTGGAGGTGATGAGAAGATGATATATTGAATTAAATCCTAAGGAGGAGAAGTAGGGATTTCAATTTTGAACAACACGATGATTTCGGGATCGTAACTTGTGATTGAGTAAGAAATGCGCTGAGACTGGAGATTGAGAGATAATGGAGCGATATACAGTGAACGGGAAAGTGAGAATAGGAGCACACGTGTAATTTTTAGAATGTTTGTGAAAAATAATTATAAATTATGAGAAATTTACACGTGGACAAAATTTTACTCTTTTATTAGGAGAAGATGTGTTATGTTAAGCACATTAGATATTTTAAATCTTTCAATTTCCAATTTTATTGATAATTTCCAAATCCTACAAAAATAACCCAACAATCCAAACGCCACCATATAGAATGAATAGAGACAGGTCTAGTGTTTAAGGAGGAGCTGTGTTTTAATTTAACTTGTAGCCGATTTAATATTAACTAATATGATTTATGACGCAAACAAATATGAAAAAAAAATATAGACATGTGCACACAATCTCTCGAAAATAAATCACACTATAATAAAATCATCCCTAAAGAAACAAAATTACATAGACATTGATTAAACTTGTCTACATTATTTTATGCAAAAGAAACAAAATTACATAGACATCGATTAAACTTGTCTACATTATTTTATGAAATAATAAATATAAGGACCTAAAGATTAATCAAGCCGGAAAACATTACAATTATTATCTTGTTTATTTTGCTCGTGTAATAAATCAATAAGTAAATCGTTTCAAACTCTAAAAGAAAAACAAGGAAACCATGGCCAAAAGGGCCAAACTTGTGAAAGCAACCGGTGGTGCACGGGTGATGTGTGACGATGAGAACCATGATTTGAATCTTGTCCATGAATCTTTAGGATCATAAGGCACAATCTGAATATTGAACTTGCAATAACCCTTAGAGGGATCAGTCTCAACTTCAGTAGCCAACCCTCCAAAATCACAACTATCTTTTGTTTGGTTTGATGCTTGAAAATAAGCATTCAAGGCGTAAGATGTTTTATCAGGACTACTAAGACCACTACAAGATCCACCTTCAGCAAAGGCACTACAATCAGCATTGTCACAAGCATACAACAAGCTCTCATGGAGTTTGTGTTTGTCCAAAGACTTTTGTGCCTTCAAAACACACCACTTCTTAGATTGATATTCGACGTCTTTGACTCCTACCAACGTGTTGTTTTCATCTTTTCCATTTAAGCTCATATTGAACTTCGGTTGACCTGCATAGTCAAAGATACCCCAATGTCGCTCGAAGTTCCCGGGAAGTATGCTTTTTGCATCTTCATCAAGCAGTTCGAAAAGGTACACTTCAATGTGCCCAGGACGCAAAGGCGTCCCTTCTTTGGCTGCTAATCGTGGTAAAAGCCCTTTATAAAATCTTGAAGCTAGGGTTTTGTTGGCCAATATGTTTCCATCTGTGGGCCAACCTATCTCCCCAACTATAATAGTCATGTTCTCATGACCGGCTTGTTTTAGAGCTGACACACAAGTGTCATAACTCGCATCGAACACATTAGTGTAGTCGATGTTATCATCTGTGATACCAACGTTACCGTCAAAAAAAGCAAAATCGCTTGGAAAACTGTCATCTGTCAAGGCAACGCTCATAAACGGGTAAATATTGACAATAAATGGAGCATTATGCTTAGCTAGGAAATCGGCTATATCTTCAACTTGGTCGGAAATATCAGGACGGAAAATCCCTGCAGATGGAAATGGCTTCCATGGTGGGGTCATATAAATATCCTCATTGAATGGAACTGAGGCCTTGATCCTGTCTCCTAAGCTCAACTTATCAAGGGCTCTTTGAATATTCTCTAGGGCCAAAAGTGTTGAGTTGATATACATATTCTCATAGTCCTCTCGAAATGGCTCGTTACCAACCGCTACCATCCTACATTATTATAAATAAGAAATTATTATTTTTACAATGCTTGAAATCCAGATATTCATTCGAGGGACAAAACTCTTGTCCTTGTTAGTGTATCCAACATCGATGTGGTACGATTCTATAAATGTCTATGTATGTTGGAGTCTATAATTCTCCATAAGGGCTCATACAAGAACCCACATATATCTTGCGATCCTCTATCGCTGGAACATAAAAACCTAGGATTTGATCTTATAAACACGGATTCAAGATAATATATTTTCATATACCGAATAGTAAACATGTTTAAGAAATAAAAGCATACGTTATTTTGACATTATGATCGATATGTTTGACAACATTGTCCTTGACCCAATGCTTGGCTTTGGTCTTATTGGTCAATTCCTCGAGTTCGGAATTCTTGACGGCCACCATGACCTCGATATTTGTTTCTGCGAAGGCGTTTAGTACGTTTTCATCAGCATCGAACAACTTCACCTTCTCAATTTCATTATCTTTCAACATTTGAACCACTTTTTCTGGTGGTAATTGGTGGTAAGCTTTTGTACCCCAATTCACACCCAACCACCCTTCAACATGTGAACCAAAAAGGCTCAACACAATCGCACCTACGAACAAAACATTCACCATATTCCAAAATCTTTCCATTCCTTCCTCTCCACACAAAACAATCTTTTTAGCTAGCAAGACTCTATAAGAATATAAGAAACTTACGTATCTAGAATTTGGGATTGAAACAAATCAACAATAACAATAGAAATTAGCAAAATAGGTCATTGAATGAAGGGCCAAAAAGTGTCCTCGAGTTATGTATGTAACTTGTCAAGTGACTCTTCATATAAAAACTTCTACTTCCCTTCGTCACCAACACTTGCCCTCAAAATTTGGGACAAAGATCCACAAATTATGCCTTCAAAAATAGCCCCATAAAAACCTATTTTAGGAAAGTTTGCTCTCAAAGAGAAGACGATGTCAAAATCAATATTTGAAAAGTTTCCACACGTCTCTTCGTAACATATTATTACTTGAATCATCAAATACAACATGATGACACAATCAAACACTATTAATAGATGTAAAAACTAAAAACTATAAGAATCCATAAATGTATCATCAATTCGTAAAATCACTCTCAAAATGACAATAATTTATGTATCTACATCAAAAATCAAAACTACAACAACAATAACACAAAAACAATCGAGTAAACAAAAAGATAAACTGAAGATCGAGAAGCATCAGAATAAGTCCCCACTATCTGAATATTAAACCTGCAAGTCTCTGTGGATATATTAAGCGTCGTCACCATAGCCAAACCTTGAAAATTACACGCCATTTCATCTTGATTTTGCACCTGAAAATACGCATTAAATGCATACGAAGCATTCGCATTTGCATCCAACCCATTACACGATGATCCATACCCAAGTGGAGTACAATCAGCAAAAGTACAAGCGTAATTGATATTCTCCCCCAATTTGCTCAAATCCTTAGCATCTGGGTTGAATTGACACCATCGCTTCTCTTGATACCTCACGTTTTGCGCCGGAACTAGAAACGAGTTCTGACCTCTGCCGGAGATGTCCATGGCGAACTTCGGTTGACCGTCGTACCGGAAAATCCCCCAGTGTCGTTCGAAGCTTCCCGGAGCTATGCTTTTAGCGTCCTCGTCGATGAGCCCAAAAAGGTAAACTTCTATTCCGCCGGGACGGAGTGGAGTACCTTTGTTGGAGGCGAGACGGGGGAGAAGACCGTTGTAGAAACGATACGCCATGTTTATGTTCGCGTTTTTGTCGCCGTCGGTGGGCCACCCTACTTCTCCGACGATGATCGGCATGTCACCAAAGCCTGCAGCTTTTAAAGCGGAAACTAAGGTGTCGTAGTTTGCGTCAAACACGTTGGTGTACTGAATCCCGTTGTCGACGATTGGCTTGCTTGCGCCGTCGAAGAACGCGTAGTCCACCGGAAAATCGTCGTTGCCGTAGAGGCTGAGGAAAGGGTAGATGTTGACGGTGAAAGGAGCGTTGTTTTTGGCGAGAAATTGGACGAGTTGGACCATTTGGTCGTTGATGTCTGGTCGGAACCTACCGGCGGAAGGGACTGGGTTGTCGGTCGGAGAACCGTAGACATCGGCGTTTGAGGGTACGGTGGCTTTTACGGTGTCGCCATGGCCGGCTTCGTTCAGGGCGTTTTGGATATTCTGCAACGCCGGGAACGTTGTTTTCAGATTCGAACCGTTGTATGCCGTCAAAAACGGCTCGTTGCCGACGGCGACGTATCTGCCATTAACGATGAAGAAAACATTTTGTCAAACCCTAAAACCCTATCAAACTTATTAAAATAATTTGAATTTATGATTTCTGAATTATTGCAAATAAATTTTAATAAAATTAAATATATGAAAATAATAAAATTATAGTACAAGTAAAGATCCATAATTTTTGGAAATTACTTCGACAACAAAAAACAACCACATGTTGCACACATAAAATATCTCAATGGCCTACAACGTACAACTCCCGATGCATACAGTACAACAAATAATGCATACTGTATAGCATCTAAAAAGCACACGCTCACTACTGTAAAGGTCACGCGGTTTAGGATTATACAAAAACCAAAACAGAGTACAACTATCCAAAGCACGAGTTTTTCTACAACGGATACAATGTACAGCTTCATATGCATAACGTACAAGCTGAAACAGCTTCCTTGGTCTAGATTTAGTAATTTTAGTATTGGAAAACAAGATTTTACGTTTTTATATGCTCAAAGAAAGAACAGTATAGAATGCATTCAGTACAACAAGTAAAGCACAGAGTACAACATGGAATGGAATCGGAACTTACTTGATATTAACACCGCCGTTGAAGTTATAACGCGTGACGTTACGCTGCACGAATTTCTTAGCTCGGCTGTAATCATTCATGGCGAGGAGCTGATCGTTCGGAATAGCAATCATAACTTCGATGCCGGAGCCGGCGAGTGCACTCATCGTCGATTGCTCGGCGTCAAACAGCTTCACTTTAGTAATCCCGTTGTCTTTCATCATCTGAACCACCGTTTTCGGATCCATCTTATGCGTCGCCATCGTCCCCCAGTTCACACCCAGACCTTCAACTTCAGCCCTAATAAAAATCAGGCCCGTGAACAATACCCAAACGGCAGTTCTCACCCCTGACATTATTTGATTTTCAAAGCGAGTGAGAAAACAGCCGGGAGTATCCAATCTCGATTGAACACAAATCAGATCTTATGGGTGTTGTTTGTTTCAGAATATAAATCTAGATGTGGGGTTTTTTCTTCAGGGATAACTAGAATCGATTGAATAGAGATAGTGAAGATATAAGTTGTAAGGGGCAAAAATGGCGGTTGAGAAGAGGCGAAAAGAGGGGGATCGAACTGCGATTTTTTCTGGGGGTTTCTTCAAGAAGAAAAAGAGAGATCGTGGAGATGCGTGTGTATGTATTGAATGGATAAAAGTCGGCAAATCTCTCCTATGAAGTCGGTGTGTGTGATAGAGAAGAACAAGTGATTCTCAACCTGAAGGAGAGAGGAAAGTAGAGAATTTAAAAGGGAAAAAGAATTTGAAATCGATTAGAAGAACGTTATTGGATTTTTGTTTTATTATCTGCAGCATAAATTTTGAAAAAATAAATAAATATTAAAATTGGAGATATTTTTGTGTATTTAATTGGTTTAAAAAGGTAATTAAAACGGTTGTTTTAGAGTTTTAAATTTAATTAAGTTCCTTCTTTATTTGGGCACCTTTGTTGTGACTTATCTACAAAGCTCCAACAAAGTATGATTTAGTGAAAAAATTAATATTATATGTTTTAAACTTATGGTTATGTATATATGTTATAAATTTATAATTAAAGACTTATAAAAAAATATTTTGTTTTCAATTTTTATGTGCTTATAAATTTATTGGTTAGAAAAATAAAATAACAACCGAACATGTCCCAGTATAAAGGAGTTCTTATTGAAAACTAAGATTTTGATCGTTAGGTTATTGATTCGAAAAAATAAAAGTAACTTTTTTTTATTTTTTTTGGTAAGTAAATACGTTAAGATCGATTATGATAGATACATTTTGGTGAGAAACTTTTTGTGTATAGCTATTAGTTTAGTGCGTTATATTAAATTAGTTTCAAAATTAGTTTTGTGTATAGCTATTAGTAAATACGTTAAATTAGTTTCAAAATTAAATTAGTTTCAAACAAGACATTTTTTATTAGTTGTACGTTTTATAATGACAATTAACATGAGTCAGAACCATTCTTTATGAATGTTTGGTTGTTTCTTAAAGATTATATTTTTACATATACGCAATTATATGTTTAATGCATTGTATAAATTTTTTAATGCATTGTATAAATTTATAAGCTTAATAAATCTCTACACATACGAAACGTATATCAGATATCCACAAAAGTTTATATATTCAATTGAACCAATCATTACAAACTTATACACAAAGACTTATACACAAAGACGTATATCACTATACTTTTTAAATTTTTATTTAATCTTTTATTTTTCATTTACATTTAAATTTATAAATAGTTGTTTCTTTCTAACCTGTGATTTCCGTAGGTTTTAACCTAGTAATAAAATATACACAAAACTTCATAATGATGCTTATTGTTTTGATTTTGTCCTCAAAACAGTTTTTATGAAACATTTTTTGTGCATGAAATTATGGATAAATGTCATTTAAGATATTTTATAAAACTTCACTTAAGAACCATTTATTAAACCGTCTAAAGATCATTTGTAAAATTTCACCTAAAGACCATGTATGAAACTTCACCTAACGACCATTTGATTTTTTAATTTTTTTTATATTTTTTATATGTTAGTTTTTTTTACCTTTTTATTATTTATTAAATATTACAAATATACTTTATTTACTATATAAATAGATTTGGTTATCAAAATTTTATTTAAACTATAATACATCATTAAATATTTTCGTTTTCTATTTTTTATCTAATAATATTTAATATACGAAAATCATTTTATCTACTAATTTTTATGTAATATTATTTTCAATATTTATCTTTATTTTTTATTTAAATATATTTATTATTATAAAAAACATGATACATTATTATTTCTGAAACACAAATATTTTAAACATGTAAACTATTTTATTTTCCTTTAAAGAAAATGAACTTAATGAAATTAATGTCATATTACTCATATGGTTAATTATTTTAATATGTATAGGGCTTAGGTAAAAAAAAATAAAGTGGTTATATAGATTTAATCATATTATTATTAATTAATAGATGATTTTTAATTTTTCTTTGAAATGTTTATGTATTTATTAAAGAATATATTCAAGATTTGATAAAACTAAATAATTTTAATAAATTGAATATCAAAATTTATATCAAACTAATATAAATTTTAACGTATTTTATTCATATTTAGCTTTTATCCAAACAAATTAAACCAATTAAATTGATTTTTATTTGGTTCTAGTTAATACTTTTAAAGTCCAAATAATTAATTGATTGTCTGCTTTATTTTTACTTGAATTTACTTGAAGACAATATATATATATATATATATATATATATATATATATATATATATATATATATATATATATATA